TTTTTTTTTTTTTTTATCGATTATATAACCTCTTATTAGTTTAAAAGAGTTTTCGGTTTTTTTTTTACGCAGCATTCGTAAAGTAATGCAAGTAAAATGCATGGCTTTTAATCTTGAACGCATGAGACGTACCTTTTAATTTTACTCGTTTCTTTTTAGTTTGAACAAATGAATTTCTTTTTACTTATTATTTACTCCGTATGTAATAAGTACTATTATATATATAAATTTACCTTTTTCGATGATTATCTTTTTTTTCTATTTTCTTTACTTTTTCTTTACTTCTCAAATCTCAAATATTTCAATTATCTTCAAATTACAAATTTTTTTTTTAGAGAAAAAACTATATATTATTTTCCAAAAATTTGATAAATTTATTATATAAATTTGGCCGATCATGATTTGACCAGAATTAGCTGGTAGTGACGATGATCATCCTTACACTTAAAAAAAATAAATAATAAATAATAATAATAATTGCACATAATACATGCCGCTTCCTTACAGAATATGAAAAGAACACTTTAATGATCTCTTTTTTCTTTTTTATGCAAATGCAAAAGAAAACAATGGATATTACATTAACTTTAACATTTCTAAAGTCGATTTTATTAAAAAAGCTCCATTGACTTTCTACATTGTTTATCATCGTTTTCTTCACCTTTTCGCTTTATTCAAATGAATTTATTTAGTGATTAAGTAATCTTTAAAATTGACTCAGAGATCTTTGAGTCGAGAAATTTATTTAAAGATCTTTCAACAATGAACATTTTTTTAGCTGTTGCATAAGAATGTAAATGTATAATTAATTTTCACGAGAAAAAAAAATAATTAATAAATATATATATATTTTTTTTTTTTTTTCTCTCCCCGGCACGATTAATTTGACTACGTGATTTACTTTATACTAATAACAATGACACTTTTTTACAAACAAAAAAAAAATTACATTTGATTTGCAACGTGCACAAACCAACTGTCAAAAAAAATGAAATAGTGTAACCATCTATTGTCTTTTATTGTAAAATAAACAATGTCAATCATTTTTTTTTTCAAAAATACTGCGCCATGTTGCTACGCATATACGATATGATAATGTCGCTGAATAAACGTATTGATGACTCCTCTCTGTAATTTACATGCATTCGTGAAAAAAATTATTTCTTTGTCTATTGAANAGTATTTTGTATGACTACCCCTTGTTTTAAATCCCTTGTTTTAAATTTTAATGATCAGTTTTAACAAAAGATGAAAAAAAAAAATCTAAAGAATCTTTTTTTATTTTTTTTTTTCTTCTTTTTTTTTCATGAGTTTGTATTTGATAGGTAACAAATAAAAAGTAACATGATAAATATGTTTGGTTTTTTTTTTAAAAAAAAAAAATTTTTAACAAATAAAAAAACTATAAAACTTGTTATAAAACTTGATTATCTTTAAAAGTGCGATACAATCTGATAATTATGTGTTTATATCTTCCCACTATCTTAAAATTTTATAAAAATGACAAGATCTAAAAAAAAAAGATTGGACTGAAATAAAATTAAAATGCGCGCTAAAAAAAAAAAAAAAAATTTTTTTTTTTTATTATTGTAAAATGGATATATTGAAAAGTACGCCAAATTTCGGACATTTCATATGTTGAGGCTACAGACCGATTATAACACTAACGTGTCTTTATAATGAAGCTAAAATGACTATCTAACAGATGACGTAGAGATTTAATGCAAGGAGAGAATGTAGTAACACTTAAATATCTATGTATGGTTTATATTAAAACATCGCGAAATGCAAAATATATTAAGGAAATAAAATAAATACTCTTAAAGAAGTTTGGCTTTTTTATTTTAAGATAAGTGTGTGAATTTAAAATTTTTTGTGGTAGATAAGTCATGTTAATATCAAATGTTTTTCATTTTCATGCAGAACATTAAAACAAATGTGGAAGTAAAAGTTCTATACATGTGTTAAAAGATTTTTTTCTTTGAAGAATTAGAGAGAAGATTAAGTTTAAATAACTCGAAAAAAAGGCTCATTATAATTTGTTACAAAGATGTGTAACTTCTTTTTTTCTCAAAGATTCAAGGTTTACGTTTCAGAATCAAAAGTGCATATGTGATTAAAAAGCTCCGAGTGATTAATGAAATTTTATTTCCTTCACATGAATTTTAGCGTACTTACGGAACGAGTTGCATTTCGGTTGTATTCCAAGTCATCTGATTTTATTAACATTCTATTGTAAAGTTAGACTGAATTTTATATGGTAAAATTAAAAAAAATTCCGGTAAACCGTAAATTTAGTCAATTTAGTCAATTTAGTCAATTTAGTTACGTGCGTGGCACAGCAAGGGATGCAAAAGTTACCTTTTTGACCTATATCACCTACTTAAATAATGTAGTATATAAAATAGTAATATGAAGTGTATCAAGAAAACAATTAATATAAAAATATTTTTCAATTAATGTTTTATAATTGAATAATTGGTTTTTTTAAATAACTTTGAATATTTTTATTAATAAATAATTATAATTTAGCAGTATAAATAATAAAAAATATTTATTTATAATATAAATAAAACCATTTAAATATTTTATTAAAAAAGCTTTTTCTTTCATAAAAATATTCAGTAATTATAAAATATTATACAAGTTTTTATAAAAATATATAATTTTAAAGTTAAATAAATTTATAATTTTTGAATCAATTCACTATATATAAAATATATATAAAAAATGTTGTTTTTATATAAGTCAGTTTTATATTTTTTGTATATTATATACTTAAAAATTTTTGATATTTCATTAAAATAAATTTAATTATGAAATAAAATCCATATTTTTTAATATTAATAATTATTAATTGTAATAATTAAATTTTTATTAAATTATATAGAGTTTAAAAATTTATACATAAATGTATAGCAATGTATTCCCCTATATTATATTATATGTAAAAGTCAAAATTAATATTTCAAACTCTTTTTAGCCTTATAAGTAAAGTTATAAAACAGGCAATAATACATATAAAATATGTATTTTAAAGGTTTTATAATAAATATATAAAGTTTACACTACATTTATTATTCAAAAAAATGAATTTATGATATCAAATGATCAGCAAATTTACTATATAATAGTTTTCAAAAAAGGAAGATATGTTTTAACAGTGTTTTAATACTTTTATATAAAATTATTATTCTCAATTATATTAAAATACTAATTTGCTAAAATTATTAATATAAATTTATAAAAATTAATATAATTTATTAAAATAAAAATATATTTTTATATTAAATTATAAATCATACTACAGTATTTAATATTATATTGTATTATTATTAAAAATGTTAAAAATGGTATTTATAAATATATAAAAATGATGTCATACTAATTATTTTTAAAAGAGAAATAATGTAATTTTTGATAAAAAAAAATTTAATATAAATTTCATATAGTTTTTTAAATTATAATTTATAAGTAATTTTACCTGTTTTACTAAAGAGAAGTAAAAAATTATCTGAATAAGAATAAAATTTTCTTATTTTATCTATTAGTTTATTTATTAGTAATATATTATTTTATTTTATTTCTTTTATTAACTTTAAATTCTGAAAATATTTTTAATAATATATAAATAATTATTTTAAATAAAGAAAATACTTTAACTATTTTACTTTATTACTTATAATGGAAATACAGATTTCAGAAGTTTTGACCTTATACCTTTTATCATTGCATGAATTTTTATTATTAGTAGATATGTATAAAATTTATATAATAATTGGATATTTATTATGTATAATACCTAGATATTTATTAAATTATTTTAAATAATAAAATCAATAGAAAACATAGAATTCCAAATAAGTTAGGTCAGGTCAGGTTAATTGATAAACCTAACCTGAAATTTTTTTTAAAACAAGTCAGGTCAGGTTATATCAGATTATCTGTTTGACCTGATTTGAACTAAACCCTGAAAATTTTCAGGATTTTTATTAAAATATCAAAAAATAATAGTGCAAAACATTTTTTTTTTGAAATATTGCAATTCACTTTTTTATATTAAAATCATATAAAAAGGTGAATCACAATATCATAACTAACTTTTTGAAAGCAATCTTAGAAGATTTACGATCAAGATGGGAATTTCCTCAAGAACTTTGTATAAAAGGATCATTTCTTGATCCTCGTTTCAAAGGCTTAGACTTTGTATCTCAAGAAACACGTGAGAAAATTATTAATCAATTAGAAACAGAATATGAAGTTCTTAAAAATGATTCAATTCCTAGTATTCCTGTGAGATCTAATTTAACATTAACAACAATGGGCAGCTTTTGGATGAAAAAAAATGAAAGAAATGTAACTCCAATAAAGAATGAAGTCTAGCATTATCTTAATTTACCAGAATTACCAGCTCTTGAGGAGTATGATTCCTTTACATGGTGGACAACAAATAAAGCTCAATATCCTATATTGTATAAAATGGCAATGAAGTATCTTTCTATTCCAGCCACCTCTGTACCATCAGAAAGACTTTTTTCTGATGCTAATAATTTAGTTACTTTCCAAAGAACTCGCTTAGATTCAAGTATCATTAACAAAATTATGTTTTTAAAAAGAAATAGAGAACATGTGGATATATTTGCAGTGAAAAAATAACTTATTAAATTGGAAATGAATTAGTTTTTTTGATAAATTTGTATTAAACATTCTAAAATATTTCAATAAATAAAATTTATTATAAATAAAACTCATTAGTTAAATTTATTAGTTAAATTTATTAGTTAAATCCACTTAAAACTTCATGCGTCGAGATCATCAAAATTGCTGTGCAACAAATGCAAAAAAAAAATGATTGGTGCTGTGAAATTATTATACATAAATTCGATTAAGATT